TAATATATATATGTGTGTGTGTGTGTGTGTGTGTGTGTGTGTGTGTGTGTGTGTGTGTGTGTGTGTGTGTGTGAAAACGTGATAGGATATATATATATATTTTATCACGTTTTATTTTACGCAAAAAACACAATCGTTATAACTAAAAATATTTTTACTTTTTGTTCGATCATAGAAGAAAATTATCCATAAAAGAAAAATGAATTATAAAAAAAGTTAATGACGTAAGAAATAATACCGAGAAATTTATCACATTACTAACACGATTAAGTACGTATTAATATGTCATTTTGTCCATAATGTTCACTTCATAATTCCTCACCATCTACAATCTCAAATAGCGGACAAGATGTCATTGTTTATTTAATACGTTTTATCGTGTGCACGTGAATTACGCTATTATAAATATGCATGTACGACTAAAACATAGACTGACAATTTTTTGGCATTTTTCCCTTTTTTGAAATCTAAACATAAAATAAATATCACAAAATTTCATCTTTCCTAAGGTAAATTGTGATTAAATAGTAGAAAATGTGGAACCGCATATCTCTATGTGTATATTACTATGAATATAATATAGGAAGTATATTAAATAACATTTTTCATTAAAAAAGCATATACATCAAGTAAAAATATAATATATAATTTTATATATATTATATATATAAAATTATATGTATATATAAATTATACATTATTAACAAAAAAAAATTCTCATGTTTTGTATAGTCAGTATAATCTTGTGTACAAAGTGGCAAAATATACCTAGCAAGAGACCGATTAATGAAAAATAACAAAGTGCCTAAAGTAATTATCTATTTAGCTAAACCACTGGCTGATGCCAGACGATTTTGCCGCTGAGACAGCCGGACACGAGCAGATAGTGTTTAGGTGAAAATTTCGTACTAACAACAATATCGGAATGGCCAATGTGTGTCGCTAATTCGTGAAGCTGCACGGACTCGTTGGCGGGTGGCACACAATTTGACAGCTCGGCGCAGTCACTCGAAAACGCTAATAATCGTACTCCGTACCCGAATGGCGAGCATATCAATCTACCGTCGGCCGAGAAACACAATTCCTTGATGTATCCAGAACCGACGTTGGGCTCCTCGATATAATGCGTCAATCTTGGTGTATTTTGATGAATCTTGTGATTTCTTGGTATCGCGTACATGGTTTGCAGATTTTGCCGGTTCTGCAGATTCTGTACTCGAGTACGATCGCCAATTATCACGACTGTATGAGACGATCGAGGAAGATTTACGCTCACGCCGTTGTTCGGTCTAGGTAGCCAATCTCTCCTCTCGGTACCGGGATAGAATTGCCTCTCCCGTTCCCTGCGAAGTCTGGCTTCTCGAATTGCTACAAGTGCCTCCCACACGTCAGTTGTACTCACGTGCAATTCTACATTTCCACTAGTAAAATTGTCAATCATATTACGTCGCCGTAAGTCATTGAGCTGAGAGTGTGGCCGAGGTGATCTATACTCCCGCGCGTCCCTCTCGTCGATTGACGCATCATGCGCCAAGTTACCGTTATTATCATCCACGTGCTGGTTCTCCGGTCTGTCGTCGTTGTGAATCGCGTTTATCCTGGCGTCGGCGGTGGTGCTCGTACTCGAATTGACCTCGACCATGTCGAAATTTCTCACTGCGTTTCTCTCCGGACGCGGACTTCTCGAGTGAGATCGCAGGTTCCTGCGTGCCGTTAATTGCCAGCTTGACCTCGGCGATCTGACCGACGACGGTGCGGCATCCGTGGACACGCGAATAGACGAATCGAACGAATTCGATCTCGCGTCTGGCACATCGTGTACTATCCGGGCACGATTCCCATTCTCTATCACGAAGGAAGAAGACGTCATTCCCGGACGCGACGACTGCGACTGTGGAAAGTCCTCGAACTCTTCCACATTTAAACTCGTCAGTCGGCCCTCCTCTCCTTCATTGACTTGTTCCACGTTGCTGGACGCTTCGCGCTCTTGTATATCGTGAATGCAAGTCCACTGCACAACAAAATGAGCCGATAAGATTTAATAGATAATAGAGAGTAAAGTCGATAGTACAATGTGCACGAGAACAAACCTCCGATTTTTCTCCGCTGCTAACGTTTCGCGACAGGGCACACCATCCCTGCGGATGAACTTGTAAACTAGATATTACCTCGGCATCGTCGCCTATGGGAAAATCGGTAAGGAATTCTACTCTATTATGGGTACGGGTATGAGCAAAGAGATGCGTATAGCTCGCTGCGACTGGTATGGTAGTTTGAGACAACTGCATTAGCCTGTACATATTTGGCTGCAATGATGCGATAATGACTTATTAAATTTCCAAATATCAAAGTGCAATTTTGCGATAGAGAGATAGATAACAAATACCTTGAATCCTGCCAAATCTTGACTTAGTGTACTAAGTTTAAGATTGTGTATTATAATGAGATATCCTGAAGTAGTGCATATTAACATTTTACTAGTGTCAGGAGTAAGTCTTGTTCGCATTAGTCCATTTGTATGAAACACACGATTGTATACAAAGCTGTTTTCTGTAAAACTGCAATATATATTTGTAGAATTAATCATAACATAAGATATAAAAGGTTATTATGTATATGTATAATAAAATACCTATTAATATCCCAAGTATATATGCTACCATCGAATCCACTGGTCAATAATAGACTATCGCTCGGACTGTATTCTATGTTTTTGACCCAATTAGAATGTCCCTGAAGAGTTCTTATCCTTTGCTTCAAGTTTCTGGCATCCCATAGAGCAACTGTGCTGTCATCTGAGCAGGTTGCAAACATACGCTGATCCAAAAACCTAATTCAGCAACAAATTTCATACCATGTTTCATACTATCTTTACCATGCTACTTTTTGTTCTCATCATAAAAAATCTTACAAGGATCATGTTACAAACCTCACACAATTAACACAGTCATTGTGAGCATTATCTATCGCATGAATCAATTTCCTACATAATGGGTCAAACATTAAAATACTCTTCTTCTCGCATGCTGCCAGCAAGAGAGACCTGCAATATTGATCAGATATGAGACTGAGCGATTTGTGACTCAAGGAGTTTAATCGACATTGCACCCAAAAAATGTTTAAGCTGCTACTGACCCATCTGGCGAGTATTCCAAATTGAATACACCACCATGCCTGGCGGCAGTTAGATTATCCCCATGATCCCACGAGGTGATTGGCTGTATAGAGGAGTAGAGAGTCCTGTGAAAGTCGTCGCTGTGGCCCAGCGGGAATTTGACACCTAGTTCGCGTTGCCTTAACCAGAGACTGTTTGGCGTCTGCTTGATCCTTATCTTCGGCATCTCAGCCAGGTGTTGATCTCAGCCGCATCCAAACGAACGTGTCCGCTGGCCCGTTGGCGACAATCCGGGTGGCGTGTTCCAGGGCACGAGGACGAGTCGTCGTCAATGAGATTGGCGCCTCGGCGGAACTCAGGGGGGATCTGTCACGACACCGTCTTTCCTCCGTCCGATTGTCAGAGACTCTTCCTCTCTTTTCTCCTCTTATAATTTTTTTCAACTTTCTTGCGCCTAGCGGTCGACGCGTTCAGTCGGCACTCGTCCTGTGCCGCGCGGCAAACTCGCGGCGTCCCATCGGGGGGGAGAAAACTCGAGAACTCCGACGGACGGTTCAAGGTTCAACGGCGGTCCTAGGTTAGGTGCGAAAACGCTACGCGCGATATTACACGTGACTCTCCGCGCGCATCGCCGACCGCCGTCCGCGAGTCGCGACGCGATCGCGGCGTACCACAAAGACGGCAACGGGCGACCCGGTTCACCGCGTCGTCCTGTCCAAGGAAGAAAAGTGGTGCCCGACGGAGTTCAAATCAATTTTAAAAATCTGACATAACACAAATCAGCGCCATCTTTGCTACTGATCACTGGCCTGTCAATGGTATCGAACACTCGACATCGACATCGAGATCGCCATCGTGGCGAGCTGGTCGCGCGATTAAAAATAACGAGAACAACGCTCTGAATGCGTATTCCGAAAAGGGAACGGAGAAAGAAGGAGATAGAGAGCGTGCGAGAGAAAAAAAAGATACATTTTCCTACGCGCGCGGGGCTCTCTTTTTTCTCTTATCTTCCTCTACCCCCTTTCTCTCTTTCCAAGGCGGTATATATTAATTCCGTCAAACCGGTCGTTAAAAAAATACTGCCGCAGTTGCGCAAATAAAACATCGTGGTCTCTTTAATTGTGCAACATAACAAAATCCCAAGGTATTCTTAATACAATCCGTTTCAACCATTGATAACATAATTTTTCTTTTATTTATCGATTTATCAACATATGTGCGGATACCGTTTCTTATTAAAGTGTTACAAATGTTATTATACAAAGCGTTATATTATATGTATTACATTGTTCTGTTGTTTTTACATCTATTTTTTTTGTATTTTTTTATATTCCACCAATGAAGATTAACTTTAATCTCGTTTATTTATTTTCTATCTTTTTCTAATTCTTACATCTACCAATATAGCTCAATCATAAATTTTGATTTAATTTAGCTTTCATTTTTTTTTATTTTCCTAAAAATGAGGAAGAGATAAAGAGTAAACTAAAGTGAAATTAAAGTTACATTTATTAGATACTATTAATGTTTAAAAAGAAAATATAATATCAATTACACATCATCAAAGGAAATGAGATTAGAGTATCGTGCAATGTAAAAAAAAAAATTATTAAAATACTAACATATATAAAATATGTATCAAGATATATGCGACGTATAAAATTACAAATAGAAATCTCTATTCAGAAATCCAACGAGAATTATAAATCATCATTTTACGATTAATACAAATGTTAATAGGAATTCACAATGTATTGATAATGTGATTTCGTGCAACGTTCAACATTCACAATGATTACGCGATATAATATAAATGTTAAATAAAAACGGCTCTCACGGCTGTTTAACACGAGAGATAGAAAAGGAGATACGTAAAGCTTCTTTCTTATTCTTCATCGCATTTAACGTCCGTATTAAATTTCAGGCCAGTAAATGCTTCTCCACGTAAATGCTCTTCCGTCCATTTATCGAATCGTCGAGAGAGATCCTCCGACATGTAATTTGTCCAATCACCGACTTTCCCGTTCCTGATGAACTTGAAATTCGGATCTTTTTTATGCACTTCGTCTAACAATTCCATATTTTCCAGGTTCGTTGACGGATTTGTTGACATCTTGGAGAACTTCAGGTGTTCGCACAACCCGATAATCTGCTCGTTCGTCACATCTTTGCCTAAGAACTTAGCCGCTTTTTTGACTGCCGCTGTCTGATCCTACAAAGAGCAATACGCGTTTCAACAGAAGGAATCCATTGTGAAGATCTATCGAAAAAAAGCGGATATGATCTGCATTTTTACCCGTTTCATTTCTTCGTACGTCAGAAACAAGATGTTAGCCTGATCTCTCATCTTCCAGAAGGGCATAATATGATTCCAAAATGGACACATTGGGCCTAAAGGAATATAACTTCTTAGATTAAATTCTAGTTTCAAGACTGACAAAAAAATTAAAAAATATTAATCAATCTTAAAAGACGTGTTTTTAAATTTTCTTAATTACTTTCCTGAAAAGCCAATTCCAAAATTTAAAAAGCGCAATTGTTGGCAATTATAACTTAAAACATTTTTTCAATTAAGAATAGAGTAACTCATTTTAATCCATTCGGCCAAATATTTTGAAAATTGCGACAAAAATGTTTCAAACGAAAATAACTGAAAATTATTTCTTTTTAATCAATAATATTACAAATTGATGCTATTTTGCCGAACGTACCACTATCTTGCAGCATCAATTCCGCGAAATCGTCGAAGCTTCCTTTCATGTTATGGAATGCTGTGCAGTAGTGATAGAAACTTACGCAGGTATCTTTCGGATTTCTCGTAATATAAATCGTCTAAAGAGAGAAAATCGATACGTTACAAGGGAAATAATGTTCTCCATCTCACGATTTCGTATCTGTGTCATCACCTTCGGTTTCTTCTCGCGAAGCTGCTTCGGCAACAAGTCCCACGGCAGGTGAGATTTTATGTATCGCGGTCTTGGCATCTTCGCTATAGCTTCAACGGAATCGCCAAGCTTTTTGAGCAGTTCGTCATACTTTTCATTGAATATGAGAATCGAACTTCTATCAAGAGAAGAAATGTCAAGAATGATAAGGGCATAGCGCGATTTTTTCTCACGATTTTAAAAGATATCACTGAATTCGCGATCTGACTTACTCGAGCAGAGGAGTTCGCAGAATGATAAGTTCACGGGTGGTCTCGTAGTCAAAATCATGTTCGATGCACCATACCATTTCCTGCGCCCAGTGACTTCCTGAAATCCCACCTTGTCAAGAAGCGATATTCGAAAAAACGAATTATACAAACAATATTATAATTAAACTCCAATTATCTCAAAAAAAAATTAATAACTAATTCGTTAGAATTAGTTAAAATTTTTAACTCATCATCTCTATTTCTCTTTTCAACAACAAGAATTACTTGATTAATTAATCAATTTTGGTCAAAATCATCCTTTCGTTTATACGTAGCAACATGAAACTAATTACAATGTCTTTCGGTCTTACATTAATTACATTTAACAAAAAAATTGTTTCTTCTTTTTAATTGTGTATATCTATGATTACTATGAGACATTCACCAGTTCGAGGGTACGAAATCAGCCAAATATCGTCCTCGTACACCTGGAAGTCGCGTATCTTCTGTGCGTAATGGACGATTTTCGACGGTAATAAGGCACCGCTGGGTTGCACCCGCAAAAAAGTGGGCTTTATCCCGAACATCTCGTCTAATTTTTTCCCCTCTTCGTCATCCGTAGTCGAAAACACGAACGTATTTTTATCCACTGTAAAAAAACTCATATGTGTAATTTGAAAAAAAGAAAAAATTATTTCCGACATCCTGACATCATTTTATATTTACTCACTTGATCCTCCCTATTTATGCTACGTGATGTGTAAATATCAAGATGTTCGCAGATCTCACGCCTTAAGTACGGACTTTATGCACTCGGATGCTGTCACACACGCGGCTTGCAGTGAAATGAACGTATTCCCGACCGTTTAAATCCGACGACCCACTGGTAGCTGAGTTTTACTTTTTCCGGTTTTACTCCTTTTTCCTATTTACTGTGACTTTCATGTTTCGTACTTTCATGTTTGTCATGTAAATAAAATTATTTATTCATCATCTGTACTTAATATTGTAGTTGATTTGTTATCACGAGTAATAACAAATATATATTTGCATATTTTTGGATTATTAATTATCTCTATTTTTATCTATAGATGAAATTTCAATGAATTTTCTGATCTGCTTTCTAAAGTAATTAGAAAAATATTATGCTAATACAGCGAAATTAGACTAGAAATGGATTAAGATTTACAATGTCACAATGTCTAGATTTAGATAACAGACTGTAAAAAAAACATTGCTTTTAAGACTTCCACGGTTATTATTTTCAAAAAAGTTAATTTGTTTACGGGTATTATCCATGCCAATTGGCATTTAACAATGTATAATGATAATGCCAGTAAACATATTAATTTAAAAAAAAACTATTTATTTAGCCAGTTAATAATACAACAATCACATTAAGATGTAGTAAAATGAAAAAATAATATATTTTAATAATCTCTTTTAGTATTCATTAAAGTGGTCTTGCATGTATGTTGAAATGTTTTTCTGAATGTTGAATATTCATTTTATCACACAGATCGTACGATTATATCGTACTCTGTTGTTATTTATATCGCAAATTCATGAAAAAGGAAGCTAATGTATGTTCTTTACTAAATATACGAGAGAATTCTATTTTTAAACATACCATGTAATACAATAGAATAATAAAGAATTAAAAATATACAAACATAAACAATATATAGTAAAACTCATCTACCAAAACACACGACACAAAATTGCGAGTATAATTTTATTTTCTGAAATCTGGCGCGAATGTTTAAAATGGGCATTTTGTTCTCGCATGCTTCTAGATATTAAGACTATATTATTCTTCCTTTTTTCTGAATATATTGTGAGATGATTCCTCATCAAACATGTTAGGTACTCGAACAATTGCGTGGCGAAGCGTAAAGTGCAAGCATTAGATATTTGTGCATTTGAATTATTTGACATTATTAACTTTCTCGCCGAACAGAGATTTCACTTTCGGAGAAAGTTGTCGGCTGCATTTTTATCGGAACTCGATGTGCATTCTCGTTGGATGAATTCCACGTTGTGATTGAAATACCGTTTTTCGATAACGAAGAAAAAATGTAACATTAGACAGCAATATGCATTATCTGACTTCCGGCAAAAGATTGGATTTCACTCCTTTTTTCCCATTTTCCGATCATGACGATATTTCGATTAGAAAATCCATTAAATTAACTTCAATTGTGAGGAAAAAAGATATTTTCAATTCATTAGGAAATATTAACGTAATCCATCGATTGCTTGAATCAATATTAAATCGTTCTAATAAGAAGAAGAAATAGAAGAAGAAGTAGCTTCAGTCAAAATACAGCCGAAAGATCGAGAAAAATTTTTTATGGAAATTTCAATAAAAAATATTTATTTAAGGATAATTGCAATAAAAAATATTTATTTAAGGATAATTGTCAAGATCTAATTAACGAAAAATGGCAAGAAAAGAAAATAAAAGAAAAGCCTAAGTGCAACGATTGAAAAGTGAACAAATATATATAGCTTGAACGTAAATCTTATTACATACTCGCAATAATTAAATTTTTATTGCGGTTTCCAAAGAAGAAAAAACTTCGAGCGAAATAAAAGACAAATACAAGAATCTTCGCAAAATTTATTTCGAATCATTTTAAATTCAAGATGCGAGATGCGCGAAGAGAAGCTCGAGAAATCGAGTCGAACGCGGGGTCACGTGACTCTCCTTCCCCGAGCGGTCACGTGGTTTATTGATTGCAGGCTGTGATTTACGAGTGCTCTGTTGAGATCGCCGATACATTCGGCCCGAGTACGTTGGAATGTATCTGTTCACCTGCGAATGATCGTTCATGTCACGGGTAAGTCCTCGCCATTTGTTACAAAATTCATCCTGATGATTCGCGCGACCATCAAACGCGACGATCGTGCATCTTCATTGCATCGCTCAACTTTAGAGGTTATGTTTCGCTCGCTCCTACGCGCACATGCGAACTCCGTTTGTACTGACGTCTCATCGACGTGTACATTTACGAGTCATGTTTGTATGTGTGTATGTATTCGCAATCCCTTACCTTGAGTTTTTATAAAAAAATCAGAGAGAAAGAAATACAGAGAAAAAGATCCAGAAAACATACCATCACTCTTTTCATATAAACCATCTCGAATATCATGGAATAAGGAATCGAACATAATTTTTATTCATTTACGTATTTTCTCGAATCTTGTTCCTATCTCTTAATTTTTTCATTCCATCTGGTTGGTAGAGAATACGTCGAAATGTCATGTTTTTTGCAATGTACATACAATTAAAAAAAAGAATTTAGTATTGTAAATTAGAGCTGTGATGTCCAATCTCGTTTCGACAAATATAAATAATAGCTTCTTTGTATCAGTTTGTCTGTAATTGGTTTGACCTTACTTTGGAGTATGTTCCATCCAAAGGCAAAATTCTTTATAGGTTTATGAATCGGAAGGAGCGACGCTGCGTTTAAACCGTTTTGGAAAGTGGGCAATGTGGATTGGCAACAGCCACCGCTGGAACTTTTCCATGGATCAGTTATTTCTCGATCTCATTCATGAATGTAAATACGTGGCGCCGGGAGCGCAACTCACTTACACTTTGAGGACTCGTCTGGAAAAATACAAGAGGGAAGTACGAAAAGACATTGTGTCTCGTATGAAAGATGGTTGTGCACCATTATTTATCGCCTGCAAAAGGGGTCATGTGGAGATTGTCGAGTATCTCATAAAGAAATGTGATGCAGACATCGAACAGAGGGGAAAGTATGAAGTACCGGACGATAGGTCGGTTCACTGCGTTACACCATTGTGGTGCGCTGCAGTATCGGGAAATTTGGAGGTCATAAAATGCCTTATATCCCACGGAGCTGACGTCAATGCAGTCTCTGATTCTGGATCTACTCCTGTTAGATCTGCGTGTTTCATGACACATATGGGTAATGAATTATACATAATTAATTTAGAATACAATTAAAAGAGAAAATAAGTGGATAAGGATGACATATTTCTTGAAAAGTATGTCTTTTGTAAAATGGATGAAGACATGTCTGTGTAATTATAGAGACCATATTTCTTTAAATAATCAGATCATTGAAAAGAGAAAGAATGATATATTATAGAAGAGAAACTAAAATAATTGGCATATAATAACTTTATTTTATTTTCAGTATTTTATTTTAAGTATATATTTGTCTCTTCAATTAAAGTAACAATACAATCATAATTTTTTGCGCTCAAAGTATTAAATAGATATTAAAAAAAATACATATTTATGATTAAATTAAATTAGGACGAATATATGGCCGTAGGTCATATGTAGGTCTAGATCAGATCTACTTTTAGACGCCTTACAAGTGCTGCAATCTTTGCTAATTACTCTCTGAAATTCTTATTAAAGGGATCAAGTGCATGTGTTATAATTAAATGTATTTTGCTTTTATAGATAAAAAATTTGATAATTATTGATGTCAGCATGAAAGACATATTTGTTTATTATTCAATTTTGTTTTTTCTGTAACATTAAATAATAGTAGTTACGCGATTGTTTTATTTGTGTTTATACGATGTATACGCGTATTATCTGGATGAATACAATAATTTTCAATAGAAATATGTACATTTCAGATATTGTCTCTTACTTAGTGGCAAATGGCGCCGATATATTAAAAGCAAATTATAATGGTGGAACATGTTTGATAAATTCTGTACAAAGCGTGGAATTATGTACTTTCCTTTTGGAACACGGCGCGGATGTGAATGCTACTGATATTCAAAACAAAACTGCCTTGCATTATGCTATCCAGGAGCATAGACTTCAAACTACCAAACTTCTTTTGGAGCATAATGCGGATCCTCTTCTTAAATCTCGTTATAACGATGATGCTCTCCAAACTGCCTGCCTTAAAGGAGCTATTCAGATATTTGATTATTTAGGTGAGAGGATTTAATGTAATGTTGGAATATAATTATGTATAAAAGATTTATGCTCCTGCATTGATTGACTCACAAATTGTCATTTAGTGGAAAATGTGTCATACGATACGGAAAGATTGGCAGATGCAAACGAGTTGATGGGATCTACATTTTTCGACGATCACAACGACATGCATATGGCGATGCATTATTGGAGGAGAGCGATGTCCCTCCGAATGGCCACGACTGACGGAGTGCCTTTGCCAAAGAGACCTGCGTTAGCGAAACACGAAGCTTATAGAAATGCCACGGAGTTTTCGAATTTGGATGAATTGAACGCTATCATGCTTGATTTAGATGCAGTAAGAATACAAAGTCTGCTGATATGTGAAAGGATATTAGGTCCGCATCATAAGGATACTCTCTTTCGGCTGATGTTTAGAGGGGCATCATATGCAGATGCGTTAAGGTAAATATTCTTGGTTTTTACTATTTTGTATCAAATATTTTATGTCTTTACATTTTAGATATCAGCAGTGTATAGATCTGTGGCGTCGCGCATTAGAAATTAGGGTAGAAAAAGATTCGGTATGTAAAACATATAATTGTACATATATAATTCCTCCATTTTATATAAAAACATTTGATACTTTTCATAGATCTTGTATGCGGATACTTGTTTTACTGCACAAGCTCTTGTACGGCTTATGGTAGATCTGAATGAGAAAACATTAGAGATGAATGCTAGTAATCGAGAAAAACAGGAACCGCGATTTTGTGATGTGGTGGCGATATTCAAATTGCTTTCCAACCAATTGACGGAAGCTAGAGAATTGTTAGAGGTATATATGAGTCATATATCAATTATCTACAGCTAATTAATAGTGTATTAATATTGGCCATATATTAATTATATAAATATCAATATTGTAGAAACGTCCTGTGCATAAGAGACAAAGAGACAGTTACGAACGTATTCTGAAGTGCGTAACACATCTTATTTACCTGTTAGTAGAAACTGCGAGCTCTGAAGTGGAAAAAACTCTGATGCACCAATTAGTTCGTAATTTAGTGAAACAAAATCCAAGATCTGTTTATACAGAGGATACGCTTCTCCATCTTTGCGTTTCCAGTTTAAATACGATTAATTCTAGTTATTTCACTTCTGCCGACGATATGCATGTAAGTATGAATTTCTATCTTTTGTTAATTACCATCCTTGGACGTTTCTTTTATGGAGAATCTCGGTCATAAACAATTCTACTTGTGGAAAGAATACATACATAATATATATATGTATATATATGTATTGTATATTTTTAGACAATCTTTCCACGTTTGGATGTTGTTAAATTACTTTTGGATTGTGGGGCATATGTCGATGCCAGAAATACATTACGGTCGACGCCTTTACATATAGCAAGTAACGCATATAATTTCCACAATCCTGTAAGTACTTTTCTTCAAAATTTTATATACATTCAATCATATGATTTATATTAAAAATTTCTGTTTACAACAGCTCATAAAATTGTTACTGGATTATGGCGCACACTTAGATACACCAAATAGAGCGGGAGATACACCAGCGCGACTTATATCCTCTAACCCATTAAATAATGTGAATCTTCTTAATTATACTAGCCTTCAATGTCAGGCCGCACAGGCTATTTGCAAACATGGAATTCGTAGTACTGATCTGCCTGTTACATTACATTATTTTTTGGAACTTCATAGAGAATGATATATATATGATGATAATGATAATATTTTCAAATAATTATTGGATGTCTATTAAAAACATACTTGCAATATATTTTGTTATTTCAAATGTATGACAATATTAAAGGATTTACATGTAATAGTGATAATGTGATGCACATTAATTTAAAATTAATTAACGTTAATTATAAATAAATTATAGATAAAATGTCACATTACAAAATATAACATTAATGTCAAAATTTTAATTATAAAGAAAGTACTATTTTTAGAATCCTAACTTCTGTTAGGTACAATCCAAATTGTAAATACAATCGCACGCAGTTTATAAAATATTAAAATGAAAAGACTGAATGAAGAGAGAATGCGTCTATAAAAATTAATTTTTTTCTGATTAGATATTGTGCAATATGTAAAATATCATTTTTAATATTTCTGTACAGCGACTCGTATAATCTACTTAAGTATTACTATTAGAGCTCTTGCACTATTAGACACTCATTTGTACATATTGAAAGATATTGCTTAAGGAAAATCTATATTCAAAAAATATTATGCGTAATATACCATCTAAATAAAGTAACAAAGATAGGTATTGATACCAATGAATTGTCAAGATATATCGAATAAATTAAATCCAATCTTCTATAATATTGTGAATATAACAACTGAATGGAAATAAGAACGTCATCCACAATAATTTTAATCTATTGATTATTGATTAATCATCTATTGATGATCTCTTTTAGAAAGAACTATATTTAAAAAAATTGCAAAAATGAACTGTGGTGCTTTTTTATAGAATACATATTTGTCTAATGAGATTATTCCAGTGATTTTTACAGATTGGAATGTCATCCAATGGTTTCCTTTAACCATTGGTGTAGTGTAATAGAGTGTGCCTTTGTATTCTATATTTTATATTAATGTTGTTAAATGTTCTTTTTTGATTTGGATATTGAAAAAAAGCATTGCTATATTTTGTGATATCCAGTATAAGTCCTGAATTTTTCTGGTCAATCTCTTTTTTCCTTTTATCGAAGCAATTTAAATTTTGTGTTTAAAAATTCAAACGTATATAACTATTCAAGGATTTTTATATTGATTCTCATAACAAAAAATACATCATCAAAATTAAATCCCAATTATATTTGATTAAAAAAGTTATTATTTGGCGTATTTTTTATTAAATTTTTTAATTGCATTGTATTATCGGATACTATTTACTTGTCAATATTCGAGTTTTACCGATCTTATACTAATTTATTTTCTCATATGAATAATTTATCTCTTAAGCATGCTTTATAGTTTGAATTTGTTTATTATTATATGTAATAAAAATTAAATATGTTTAAAGCGCTGAAAAATTAATAATTGCAAAATATTGATGCATGCAATGTTAAACTAAATACACAATTATAAAAACTAATAACACAATGAACATTGTTAAATAGCAAAAACAATATAACACAGTATTTACAATCCTTACTTAATCAGTTGATTTATTGTAAGTTATTATGTAGTAAGTAATAAAAGTAAACTTACTTTTTGTATATTTCAGCACTTCATTTCAGAAAGATATGACAGATTGCCACATAAAATGTCAATGAAAATAAATAGCGAGATTTATCAATACATTTTGTATAAGAATCCAAAAATTTTTATTGCATTAACAACACACATATGTGTGAGGCTATCACAAATATAAAAAAAAAGAATAAAAATTACGATTTATTGTGTTACATAATTATAAAATGCGAGCGAGAATGTTAATACAAAATTGAGAGGATGTGCTGCGTTATATAAATACACACATGATAGTTGAAATAAACGATGTTTTTGTATATCCTAATGCGATTTGCATCTGCAAAACTTAACAATTTTCAAAAAGATATTTGGATTATTACAATTGGCACATAAATATTAAGCATAAATATTAGAAATAATACTTGTGTCGATCTCATTGTTCAATAACGAACATGACGCGTTGCACATCTAATGTATGTTGTTTTTTATGTGCTCACAATTAGTCTAATTAACGATACACGAAATAAAAAGTTATTGCAACAACTTAAGGACGTTTATATAACATCCTTTGATTATTTTATCCATCTCTTTAAATATGAAAAATATTCTTTATATCGAAGAAAGAGAAACATAAATAAAATTGATTATAATCCGTCTAATATAAAAATCATTCAAATTTGTAAGGAATGCAGAGCTAATTGTAGGAACTATTGTATTAATTTCTTAATTCTTCAATAAAATCAGTGCACAGCAATGTAGCGTTTTTATGTTGTGTCATGGATATACGTACATTGTTAAAATGTAAGGCTCGATAATTTATCAAAAATGACTTAACCGCATCCTTATGTGAGTTGAAAAATCTTATATGAACATTTTTCTACGATTTATGTTTAACTTTGTAAGAGATTGAGAAGTACAATCACAATTGCGACAAAAAACGATAACTTATGCATGATCGCACCATTCCTCGTGTAAGAATCAACCACGTGAATCTTCCATCCCATGTTTGCGTGTGTGAAGGAATGATAATAAACCAGATCGGGCCATGATGAATTTGGAGTTATTACCAAGGTACCGCCTTCTCCTGTAGACAAAGATAAAACATCATTTGTCTTCATGTTTTCGAGGACATAAGTGTTACTAAATTTTAACCAAAGTTCTTTTGAAGGATTGGATTTTAAGATTAAAAGAAGTGAAGGCTTTACCTGGCTCGCAGACTTGAACGAGGGTCCGATTGAATTTTTGAAATGATGGGAAATTATCGTCCAGTCTTCTATCTCGATTCTTATATTTGCTTAAGCAAAGCGGCCCAACTGAAAAAATAAAAAAATCCAGTAAAAAAACTTTGCGGACTAAATTTACATGAACGTAATTCGTATGAGAAAAATTTATAAACCTGCAGTTGGTCGTGGCCGACCTCTTCTAGTCAGTTCAACGCCAGCTAAAACCCTGACCTTGCTTTGCGCAAGATCGCTGAGCGTGTCATATCCTCCATGAGGTTCGTCGGTTATTATCAATGGATGATACAGATCCGCACTGTGCGGATTGTTTCCCCCATGGACGCGAAAGCTATACGTCAAACCTCGACGTAGATATAACTCGGGTATCAACGCACCTTCGATGTACCAGGCGAGACCCGGCGATGGTTTACCTATGAATACACGTTTTGTAGAATTCGCGATTTACACGCTACAGAAAACGATAAATGATAGTTGAAATTAATTAAATTTATTACCTGTAATTCCTTGATACCCCCGTTTTCCTCCGGAAGGTCCGATGGTCGCTTTGAAAGTTCTGACATTTCTGTCGAATATCTCTGTTTTCTGCCAAGATTCTCTGTAAATAACATCAAGTCACAGTTACGAAAAAAGATCCAAACAATTCATATGATGTACAAAGATAATATTTGATATAAACAATAACATATAAATTTAAATTTGACTAAAACAACTTGTCATTCCTCGCACCTTGGGAAGATCTTGTCGTTATACTCTGTGAAGTCGATGCAGGTATTCTCTGGCTCTTTGCGACTCAACTCGAGCATCAAATCACTTCTGGGATACACATCGTGGAAGCTCGGTTCATTGTTAGTTTTATCGAGCCTGCCCAAAGCCCAAACTACGTAAACAGGTTTATCCGTGGGAAAATCTTTGTCCCCGACATCGGCTGTGTAAAAGTAAACTTTTACGACTTGCATTGTACAATTGAGTATTCGTAAAAAAAAAAAAACACCGATTGACTCACACGAAATAAGGGTACGTCTGTACGTGATGGTATTGATGCCATCTTCTCTCACCGCGGTGTAGAGCTGGTTGCTATCCAAACCGCCGAGAAGTTCGTCTCTGCAGACTCCTTTGTACTGACCGAGAACTTTCCCACACTGTCATCGCAATCATTAAAATATTCATTAATGTGGTACTTTTTTCTTTCTTCTCCCAAGTAGAACAAAAAAGTCATAAAGATCAAGATGACGTCAGAATGATATGATGATATGATTGATTTTGATGTCATCTTGATCTTTATATGATTTTTTTTGTTTTACTTAAACTATTCATGGCAATTGGTAGACTACTCAAGTAACTTTACACACCGGTGCCTTGGCTGTGATATTGTAGTCTGTGGCGTATCCTCGTGTGTCATCCATATACGCGATGGCCACATCCGCACCTTCCATTCGGCTGGACTCTTCTGAACCAGATAAACCGAACGCCATGTATTCGTCCTCGGCTGAAAAAAGTAGAATTGAAACTGTCTTTTTCGATTTCTCGATTTTCAAAAAAATTGTGCTTGTTAATGTAAATGCATACCGACTTGACCAGCCAACTGGATAGTTATCTGTGGGCCGAAGATCTCCCAAGCGACTTGATATCGTTTGTGCAGCTGGACGCAATTCGGGAGGGATTGGCTTTGCTTGATGACTTTTATCAACGAGGGTGGTACGTTGAGCCCGTCGGGTATAATGACAGAACCATAATTGGATTTGGTCTTTACGTCGAAGACACTCAACCAATCTATGTTGAACACAGTCTTATCTCCTGGCAACTCTAATATAATGTCCTGATTGTTATATGCTCTAAGAGAATCCATGCTGAAAAAAAGAATCGTATTATTTTATACGTGTATTCCTAGATAACTTTAAGCGTTGTACGGCTTTTATAAACGCATTAATCTGCATTTTGTAATTTTATCTTACTATCCATATTCGTCGGGCACTTTTTGACCCTTGCTGGATGGTTGCGGGCCAAGACCGATCCAGAAATACGTGTCCACGCCTTGTCCGTCATAGATGAATTGCGGAATGCTGATGGTTTTCGAGTCCAGGATCACAATGGGGTCTGACGAAACGTTATGAGATCTCCGCGATAGCTGTGATATCTTTTGAGGTGCCGGTGGGTCGAATTCCTCCGGAATGTAAACATCGCCGAAAGTGTTCTATGATTAGAAAATATTTTAAATGATTATATAAATAAACATCAATTCCATCAATTCCCATATTGATTGTATTGATGGAAGTTGATTGTATAATTTAATATCATAATGAAAGATATTATGAAAACGATAATATTTACATTCGTGGACTGTAAAACAAAAATAAAGTAAGTCTGCGATTTCCAAGATATTTCGGTACTTTATGTTTTAAACAAATTTTGTGTGTTAATTAATTCTTATTACTAACATTCTTTTTTCTATGCTACACATATTTAATACAAATATTTAATAATCGTGGGTAAAATATTAATAATTTATTCACATTGCTAAAATGTATTACCTGACTCGCTAAATCGTACACTGCAAACCACTTGATGTCCGTTATTTTCTTATTGTCCGGTAAGGTCAGTGTGAAATCCTTGTTAAAGTATCGATCCAGTATGTTTGTTCTGAAAAAGCGATATTCAAGATGGGCACGCGATTTTCCAATTACTCTGAAATTCTCTTAGGACTTTTAAAAAAATTTATAGAAAAAAAAATATAGCTTACTTGCCCCACTCATCGGGAACGATAAATCCCTGCGGGCCTGGTCTGTTCGATGCGCCCGCCCAAAAAAATGTGTCGGCTCCATTACCATCGTAATTAAAAGATGTCAGCAGCAAAGTGTACTGGTTCACGGCCCAAACATCGCCGGAAACTTGATGATGATACGGATTTAACTTTCCCAGATATTTTCCCTTGTATTTTTCACCGTTATCCTCTTGCGCGTAAGCTGCCGAAATAGTTTGAAGTATTTATTCGATGCGATAGCACAGAATAACACTGATTATTTAATAATTAAGCAATGATTATTATTATTATGTTTATTACTTTTTTTACTTTTATTACTTATTATTATTTTATTTTATTATTACTATTATTACTTTATTTTATTTTGCAGAAAATTATTTAAATTATTTTGCTATTTTTTTTAAAGAATTTTTTCTCACAAATTTAAATATTTATTTGTTTATAAATAAATTAAAATACTTGTATTTTGCGTGAAATGTTTATTTTCGAATATCTATTCTCACAGCACGATTGAGATAATATTATTTTTTCATTATTAAGTAATTTTATTTATTAAATGATAATATATTGTATATTTACTTTAATTATTAGACAAAGCAATTTTCAATAGTTTTAAGATTTTCTCTTTTTAAATAATTCAAATTCTCGGCTCTAGATTTCCAGAGACTCGTTCGAGATTGATTCACAATCAGAGACATCGACGCCGGATAAAGCGATATCTTTCGAACTCAGTCGAGCTTATTTCGGGACCCTATTGCTTTTCTTTCCTTTTCACGAATTCTTTTCATTCTCATTTTTCAACAATATGCAACTGTCCCTATAGTGAATAATTACCGTGAAAAAAGAGCAAGCATCCTAGAAACGTCACGAAGGCACTCGTTCCCCTCTTTCTCACGACACCTGCCATCGCTTCATCTTCCTCCGAGTGCTCCGAAGCGTGTCGCTGACTTTTACCAGGAGCTAGGTCCACGAGGTCGCGAAAAGGCTGACGGAATGGACAGACGATCGAGAGGCTACGTGCAACCGCGGTGACTCATTGCTCATAATCAGCCGAGGTGGATCGTATCCGCGGGTGAGTAATCCGAAGTGATCGCCTCGCGCGCGATTAACGCACGGTGACAATCAACGGAAGACGATGAGCCGTCGATATACCGCGTGTTGTATCGCGGTGAACCCTTGCTAGACTACGTCGATCACACCGTCTCTCGAGGCGGAAACGAGCGGAAACGCGACTAGAAAGCCGAATCGGCCTTCGCGGGACGCGGCTCCACGCACAACCGCTACGGCCGTACATTCCCCGGGAGAAAGTATGCGCTCGCCAGTACGGCGCGCGGGGAACCAATCGACGACAGAAGAACGAAATCCGCTCTGTAAATCCGGTCGCGGTCATTGTCGCGTTATTCGACAGATGGACGATTTCGGACGGGACGGAGTCTCTCGACGAAGGCACCTGGTCACCTCGGCTTTCTCGCGAAAAGATGTCAGAACGCATATGTCTTCTTTTCACATGCCTCCATCGTTTCAAAAAATATATATGACTTTTCCTCAATTTTCTTGAAAATTTAAACTTCGAGATGGTGGTTCGAGAAAGCGGAGTTTCTTTTATCCGGGTTAGTCGCGCTTTTCATGCTTAGAATAATGGCACGAGTGTTTAAGCGGGATTTTTGGAGCAAAAAAGGAGAGGAACGTAAAAAACAAAGAGGGAGAAAGATTAGATCTTAAAAGCACATCCTTCCTCTTTCACTCTCCTTTGGAGATATATTTCACGTATTTCAAGAATGTATTACCACATTTTATTTCATATATAATAAAAAATGGTATACTACAAGATTCAGGTACTACGTATAATTATGCTCTTTATCTTAAAGCATTTAGTTTTTTTTTATGATCAATGGTATGTTTCAATGATATGTTTCACTATGTGAGAACAATTTTGTTATACTATATGTACCTCGAATAAAAATATGAATTATTGCTATTATACTTTCAGTCCTGTAAAGTCAGTATTTCTTAATTAAAAATCAATACAGATATCATTCCGTTTCTGATGCCAACAAAAACAAGAATCGTGAGATCGCGTATATTTGTATCAAAGTACGAAGTCAGCGAAAATATATCAGTATCGATTTAATTTCCGTGTTTTGTAAAAAACAAAAAATGTAGATCATAGACGTGTTCCTGTGTCTATAATGTGTCTGTAAAATATATAAAACATATAAAAACACTCGCGATATCTTTTTGTACTATTTAGTCATGTCGTTTGCGCTCACAAAGATAAACTTAATGTAAGATAAAGTTACGCGAATAATTCTTGCACATTAAGTAAAATAAAACTGATTCTCTACTATTCATAATACTTATTCGATAATCATAAATAGATCATATATCCGAAGTCTATTATGCAATTTCACTAAAGAAAATTCATAGTTTTTTATCGTAATATAAATTTTAACGCTACCTGAGATAATATAAAAAATATAAAACATAAATCTCTTTTTAAGAAATAGAATATTTTAGAGTTTTTTCATTTAAAAGTAGGTGTTTTGCCTAAAATTAAGATATATATATAACATTATAAAAGCTCTGTCTCTTAGATTTTATTAAAATTTTCTTATATTCTATCCATTATACACAGAATTAAAATTTTTTTATAGCTCGCTCTTCTATCTTTGACTTATTATTATATATAACAAAATTAGAAAGATATAAAATATCTTGTGTCAAACTGATAGTAAATAGAAATTTTGCAGTAAAGATATAGAATTTGTTTCTACTTAGGAAATCTGATATAATGGTATTTTATATTCATTAAAAAAGTTTTTCGAAACAAATTTTGACAATGCTGTCTTAAGGAAATTGCCAAACTTTTACATTTTAATATGCAAATTTTAATTCTGCTGCACGAATCATAATAACAAAATTTCAATAAAATCCATGAGATCAAGCTCTTAGATATTTACGAAATTGAAAAAAAACTCTACACAAGTAAATATCAATACTACAAGTTGGATATAACGCTAACGCTTTGAGATAAATCTACTTGGCCCCTCAATACTTTTTGCTGTAATCTCTTGCAAAAAATTTTTGCCATGAGCTTATTTCGACGTGCCTCCTCCTGACGTTCCTGTTGTCGCCGCTTAAATCGCACTTCATTCAGTCGGAGATATCGTTTACGCGATCGCTCTTTCATTTCCTCATCGCTAATTTTTCGCTGCACACAAACTGTAATAAAATATTTATGAAAAACTGTATATTAATGACTAATTGTATATTGATACGTAATGCTATAATTCTACAAAGATTTACTTAAATTATAGTACATAATGTCATTATGTATAGATTATTAATTTGATAGATTTATAACTATACGAGCAATCTCACCTGTTGGCTTCCGTATTGGTGCGGTTTTAATAATGTTGGACATACTAGCCATCGCCAATAATTGTATTCGCTTTTCCTTCCTCAGTTCTCGCAATTGGCATATCTCTGATAAATACTGCCGGCGGGTCTCCGCATTCCCCACAAACTCGGGATTATTTCTAGATAAGTAATCCTGAAATCAGTTTAATTAGAAACATCATTAATTAAAAAAAAATTATAACGGTATTATCTCTTTAAAATCACATTATATACAGTTTATCTTTAAAAAATCAATCTTTATTTAGAATGTTACACGTTTATTACTGCAAAAAATTATTTCAAACAATCTGAGATTTTAGATATCTTGTTTGTTGCCGAATTTTTACCTGCAATGTATTCGTCGAATGAGAATTCTTGCCGATGTTATTCCTTTTTATGATATCGCAAGGGCAGGCATCGGATTTTACTGCGTTCAGTTGTTTGGATACTTTTGGTGTCATTTGAATGATATTCGAGGTTTCATTTTTCGAGGTATTTTCTTTCGTAAATGATAATTCGTATGCGACAGCTTTGGGATACGTTTGATGGCAACCGCATTTCCTAGTATTCTGATACATGGCACCACATGCACGGCAATGCTTAGAATTTCTCTCGGTTTTACTAATACTGATATCGTCTACATAATTTGGTTTCGACGCATAATTCTTACACGCTTTTCCCTTTTCTTTCGCTTGATTATTACTACAGAAGCAAGCCTCATCACAATTACATTTTAAACTACTTTGTACTTTACGTTGTTGATTCACGTTGCTGTCTTGCGAACTGTCGGAGTAAGTCTCGAAACGGCGCAAGCCATTATTGTCAATTTTACTACAAGAACAAGATTCGCATAGCGTTCCCGTCGCGATTCCCGATTTATGGCATGCGACACAGTCATTCGCGCAATCGCAAATCTTTCCCGCGTCACTTTGTTCGCCATAATTCAATGCGCGCACTCGACCTTGGCTCTCTGCGTTGCAGTTCTGTCGGGATTTGCTAACGATGTTCCTTTTGTCCGCGTCATTAGAAGGGATATCGTCACATTCGGAGACATTCTCGCAGGCGCATGTCTGACTGACTCCCGAAGTATTGTCGTGTATGAAGGAGGGATTCTTTTGATATACACCGCAGACGGTATTACTAACATCTATAGCAGGTTTCTGCTTGAAACACAGCGGGCACGTCGTGAACGACGGTCCTTTGTAACACTCGGTCTGTTTGGCTTTAATGGTACTCGAGCTGCTCTTATTATCAGCAGATAGACAAGCGCTACGCGTGCAACTGCACTTCGACTTGGACGCGTTGATCTGATTTTTAACCTCTTTCTGTTTCTGCTGGATGCTGCCGCTCTGCGTCGCGTGACACCGGACGACGGGCTCCGCCACGCTGTCGTCGCTCATGTAATTGGTCTGCGTCTGTTGAGAGAGAGCCGATGTATCTCCCTGATGATCCTTCCGGGATCCGCTCGAGCCCACCGTCTCGAGTGGGCTCTGCCTACATCGCGCGCACGTGCGCTGCACCAACGGAACGGAGTGCGTCTGGCATGATTGATCCCTACCCTTGGCGCCGTTCTGATAGTGTGCACACGGTCTCTGGAGACTCGCGTATCTCGTGTCATACACGTCGGATTCGATCGTCGAAAACGTTTCCCGTGATAGCGTTTGAACACCGACGGCGACGTGCTTCGTCGCGGATTTTCGCGTTTTACCAGCGGATACGATTTCTCCACCGGTTTTCGAGTAAGCATTGGCTACACTCGTGGCCGTCTGCGTGCAACTGTTGCGTTTCATGATCCTTTGAACTATGTCACCCGCAGTCTCGCACGCTGCTAAATTGCAGTGAGACGACCACGGCTCGTTGACGGAATCCTCTTGCAGGTCCGACACACTCCTGATGGTACGAGATTAAATGGCGTTAGATTACACGAATATTGTATAACAAATACAAATGTGTATTGCGAACAAATTACCTGTGTATGCTGTCTGCGTGTTGTTCCCGTCTAAGTATCACCGTCTGTTTCGATTTGAGATTCACCGATTTAGATTTTCTTGGCGAGGATTTCGGTCTTTCCAATCGCCTGGGCTGCTCCAGCAGTCTAACAAATAAAAAAAAAAACTTATATTATACAGCGTTAAATATCTTTGTTTGGAGAAAAGAAAGTCTTTTTTTTAAATAGCCGAATTCTACATAGAGATAAAGAAAAAAATTACTTTTTTAAGTTACAGAGATGGCTAATCTCGTTTGTAATCCAAATCAATTGATTCCTCTTCTCCATTTCGGCGTAATTAACGAGCTTGGAATCGCCGGACTCGGACATGCTGCATTTCTTTAATTCGAACTGCCTCTCCGACGAGGTCGTCGGTAATCTCCAGTCGGTATTATTATCCGTGTTATTGTTAGATTCGATCGGCGTTCTCCTATTGTTTACAACAGCGTCCAGCAAGATCCTATTGTGATCCGGTGGTATGCTGTTCGTCGTGGTCGACTCTCGATGCGGCAGCTTGCAATTCTCCTTAAAACAAAATATGTCGTTCACTTTGGCATTCTTGTGATTCCGCTGCGGTACGAAGCATTCGGAGCTCTCGCTTTTGTCAGGATCCGTCGGCGTGTTGCTGGTCTGCTGACAGTCGTCCGTTCGCAGTCCCAATCGCGCTTTCCTGCCGTCCATTTCCGTTCTGTCCGTATGCCGATCGAACTTATCACTATTACTGCTCTCCAATGCGACCTCCTTTATCATGTCGCTGGTGGTACCCAGAGATTTCTGCATGGACGCGTCCTTCTTCTGCAAATTCCATTCGTCCGAGGATTCGGTAGTGCTGTGCTTGTTCGCCAGAGCTTGAAGCAGCTCGGCTCGGTAGACCTTGTTCCTGGCGTCGTCAGGATTCCACGGTACATTATCCTCCAGATTATGCTCAATTTTATCATCCGTGTACTTTGCAGTTACAAGCCGCTTGATCACATGTTGGATCAGCCTCTTCTTGACCTGCTTGTCACATTTGTTAGCATCGACAAGACTCTTCAATATGTTGACACTCCTCTCCAGATCGCGGACCAAGCTGTCCGAGTCACCCCAGAGTTTGTCGTTGACGCTGGAGCTGCTGTTCGGTAACGTCGAGTTCGATCTACCGGTGTCCGAGGATACATGGCTGTCTCTTCCGTTCGGGACATTCGCATAAGTGTGTCCCGGAAAATATTCAAAACTATTAGCTCTGCCGGACACGTTCTCCGTCTCGTCGGGCTGCGGCGTCGCTGAGGTTGACGCATTCTGCGAAACGTCCGAATTACTCCGATGCCTCTGGCTCTCCCTCGCGCCTGCGTCGACATCGGCATCACCTTTTCTTGGATTCTTCACCTTGTATGTGCCTTTGGATTTTTTCAAGATAGAATGTATTGCTGCTGCTTGCGAGCTCGGATCTCTTTCAGGAGATTTGGTCTCTTCGAGATCCGAAACCTGCACGCCGACGGATTCTTGAGCGCACACATCGGGACTCGTCTGTATCACTTTGTCGCAGGTGGTGGGCTTGTTCACCACGGTGGCGATCGAAGACGTGGAATTGAAGATCAAAGGGAACACGGCTTTTCCATCTTTAGCGTGTAAATTCACCTCGCTCTGACTCCTCTTCAATGAGGACTTAGACGATGACGGTATCACATTCATCGAGATGCTTTTTTTTAATGGCGAACTCGACGGACGCGCGGTTTCTTTGCGATTATTTACATTATTTCTCCTTTCCACTGTCGAATATTTCAATGGCACTTTGAACGCAGACGTCGACGACGTCGGAGTGTCGTGTATCTCGAGCCTCGTAGGCCTCACCACAGCCTTCGATTGCACGGTATCGTTTGGGACGCGTCTTTCCTGCGACTTTATGTCATTCCCCGTGATAATCCCTGGCAGATGATTTTTCATGATAGGCGTGATCTCAATCTCGCTTTCCGACCCCGACGCGTTCCCGATCAGTGGCGTGGAATTCGCGTCGGGACCCATTGATGATTTTGAGCCGCTCTGTGTCGCAGCGTTCTTGCCGGATTGCATCCCTGACTCGGTGGTGCCTTCCGGGTCCAACCGTAGGGCAGCGGAGCATCCTCGCGCTAGAGCCATGCGCTCTATGGTACTCAGCTTCTTATCGTCCTGCTTGTTGTGGGCGAATTGCGAATTGAAATAACCGACGTCCGCGCCGCTGTCCCACTCCAGCGGTTTGTAGGACGCCACGCTGGAAGTCGGCGAGGACAATTTCCTCTCATTCACCTCCGGGAATTTCTCCTGACTCTCGTTCCTGTCCTTGTGTATCGTCTCCGGCGTGACGCGCTTGAGATCGGGTGACGGCGTCTGGGGATCTGTCAACGGTTGAACATATCTGGATGAGGCGTCCGCGTTTGAGGACTGCCCGATCAACGGGGGTCTTACCCACCTACGTCTCTCTCGCGGCACGTAGGACTTTAGACCATACTCCTCGCCGACGCAGTCCTCGGGTCGGGACGTTGGTCCCACCTGGGCGCTCAATTCGTACACGCTGTAATAGTATTTAATAGCCTCCTGCGGAGTATTTGACACGGGTAGCGAGAAATACTGATCCAGATTCGCGTCGCGAGAGTACTTGCGGTAGTATTCCATTACCTGCGCGGAGAGGCTCTTCCTGGCCAGGCCCGACGGCCTGTACGGCTTGGTCGGCTCCGCGGCGTCGTTGTCGTGTCGCTCGCATTTTCTATGCGCCGGCGCTGGCTCGCCCGGGTTCTTTGAATCTCTCAGACGACGACCCTCGCAGCTGGATTCCGAGTCGTATTCCATGCTAGCTGTCTACGGTGCATTCTAGCGCTGTGCTCCCGGTCTCTCATGCCCGACCGCTCGCTCGCGCGAATTCTCACCTCTCGTGATGTAAACAACGAACGTTCGGATGGAAATTGTTGGATATATTCCGTCCGAATTGCTCACCCCCACGATTGCTAGAGCGTCACTGATGACCCTTATAGGTTATGACGCGACGAATATGCGCGTCACTTTGCGCCTTGCTTATTTGCAAATAACGTGCTTTGTCTGTGGGTGATTTTCCATTCGTATATCTTTCCCGCGATACAGGGCTATCCGTTTGATATGTCTGCTCCAATTATATGTTGCGTGAGTCGAACACGGTGACAGTTACAATCGTTTACGTTGCAACGACTATTTAAATCAAATTTTGTTTACATATACTGCCACAGGCACATTTTTAACAGGTTTTGGGACGCGGGCGGAACTTCCCGCCAGGACGATAGGCGAAACGAAATCGTTTCGCGAACGCACTGTTTTTTTTTTTTTTTTTTGAGCAAATCAGTGGAAATAAATTAATCTCTTTATTTGCAAAATAAACTTTTCAAAGTTTATAAACTGTGAACTAGTACAACCAGTTCACCCAAAAAGAACAGGCCTTATATTTGTGTCGTTTTAAGTGCAGAAAGTGCAACGTAGAGCAATAATCGCATCAGCTTCTTGATGTTTTAAATTTTGAAGTATTTTGAAATCTTAGGTTGTAAAATTTAAAAAAACCTTGCATTAAACGACCGATCGAAGTACCTAATAATAGCGATTGAAAGCGAGTTCCAGTTAGGAGGGGAGGAATATCTTTCAATTCTAAGAAAACGGAAATCTAACCTAAAAAGCGATTTGATCTCTCGGCCGACGTGACAATGCCATGTCTTCCAGAAATGCTATTTTTAAAAGTTAAGAGTGTATGATGCAATGTTTCTCACGAAGTTAATCAAAATCATCCCGTTCCTGGAATCTTGACAATCTTTGAAGGTTCATACGCGGTTCATACACGTAGACACGTGTTGCAGGAACACGTGCAAAGTTTATTTTATTGTTTCCTCGTTGCTTCTACTTGAATATCACAAGATAATCGAAATGTTTTCCATTCGGCAAGCGCTCCGTCTTGGTGCACGTGTGATGTGCACCCGGCACATGGCATGTCATTCTCGCATTCCAACTTTATGTGCACCATGCGGTATCGGGGCGCTCCGACAGGAGCGTTTCGTTCACGATGACAACCGCGGGGAATTAGGCAAGTTGGAAGGAAAATTAAAACTGATGTTCACATGCAAAAAGTGCGAAACGAGAAATAGCAAACTGATATCGAAGTTGGCATATAACAAGGGAGTAGTGATAGTAAGATGTGACGGCTGCAAGAACAATCATCTTATTGCCGATAATTTAGGATGGTTTTCGGAAATAAATAAAAAGACGAATATCGAGAAAATCATGGAGTTGAAGGGGGAAACCGTGCGAAAGATCATGAATGACGTAGATGGCTATTATGAGGCTGTTTTGAAGGAAGAATTCAAGATGCGTTTGCAGAACGTCGGCGAAAAATCGGATGATGAATGCTCTAATGAAATAAAAATGATTGAGGAATCGAAAGGAATCTGACATTCTTCCTAGCTTTAGTTTATCCCCTAAACAAAAGTACAATAAGTATAGACAAGTAAGAAATGTTCTGTTACAAATTTATTGTGTAATCTGTTTCGATTTATAATATATAAGAATGACAAGTGTAGTCATAAAATGTACAGATCGTTTTAAAGTCATAGAATGCGTTGAAAAAAAAGTCATCTTAATTTATGTTTAGATAAAGCTATTTTCATGCTGGTTGAAACACGAAACTCATCTGTAGATATAAATTTCGCCAACATAAAAGAAGTACACATAAACAATTATATATGCAAGAGTGCTTTACACATGTATAAAATTTTTTAAATATATTTTAAATATACTTCTTAAAAATAATCTAACGATACTTGTTTTAGAAATTAATTAATTTTCGTTATATGTCTCTTCAATATACATATTCCAGAATTCTGCTTCTTCTTTTTGAGTCCCTTTTTGAATTTCTATTTAGGTGCGTTAAAGTATTTAGTTTGTCTTTCAGAAGTCCACTAAGTAGCCTCCTTGGGAATGTAAGAGGTACCTGTTTAATTTTTTTCCAACATTCTCCACGAATATCAAGATTGGGATATATAATTCTATAAACAATCACTTGATCATACAGAGCAACTTAGAATTCATTGATTGATGGAATAATTTTATCAGTAATTGTTTATATATATACATATTAATTGATATTTCAATTAATAGTAAATCATTTGTTTGGCACAAAGGACATATTATTACAACGGCTTCTCATTAAATGCCTCTTATAAACTGTTATGGTACATATATACAATTTTGTAAAAAGGGACTCTGCAAATAAAAAAATATAAAAGATAATTATCTATACCTATATGTATTATTATTGTATGTGACTCATAATCATTAATTTGCATAATGAATAATAGTGATTTCTGCTACGCGAATCTATCTCATAGATATATGATATATGATATATATATTTGTAATATACTGAATATGTAACATTTGATTCAAAAATAGATTTTTTTTGTACTTTTAACACTTTGAACTTTTAAATCCAATAAAACAATTTTCATGGAATTAATATTTATGTGAAGGCAAATGGTTGACTTGATTATCGACGAAAGCACTAATATCCATTGTGCACGTACATAAAATTGCGGCAGCATATAATGTTAAATACCTATCCAATTGTGATGATACATTATCTCATCTAGTTATCTTTTTACGAATGCATTTGTATATTAAATTGTATTACATATTTATAGCATATTGATAGTTTCGTACCATTTGAACAAATCAAGTTTATAATGTCTGCATAGACAAACGCACGCGTTTTCGTATTGTTTAAAAATAATATAATCGCGAACTATTTTCATATATCATAATAATAGTTATAGAATAGAAATGTTCATTTATATATCAATAATGTAGATTAATTTTAATCTCAGTTTAACTTATTCTTTATTTCTTCTAGTTACAAAAATGAGAAAAAGATGAAGATTACATTAAACTGAGATTAAAACTGATGTATATTGATAGAAATGAATAAAAGAATATAACAATATTGAGAAAATAGAACTAATAATATTAATAAAAAATTATGATTCTAATTATGACTGTAATTATATATAATAATAAATTTCTAAGTACACCAATACTCAAATATCAAGATACTTTAATGCGCATGCACGTTCACGATTTAGTATCATTTTGGCATCAATTAATATATTTTCTATAAGGCACTATACATACATGTCGATAAATCAGTCGAATAAAGTTCGATAAAAATACTAATCACTTTAAACTTCTCTAATCAAGACTAACAATATAGAATATTTTTCGTAAGAAAGCACAAAAAGTCTATGGAATTCTTTCAATGTTTACGCTCCTTTAGATATCATATCTATGACAGCAATCAAGAAGACTAGTCTCTTAAAGACAATGTAAAAAGCGAATAAAAATAAATATATAATTCGAATGGATATATAATTCTGGATATAATTCGAAAATAACGACATTTTTATCGCGTTTTATAACGTGTGCCAGTAATTTTATAAAAAAACGAAAGAAAAATATCTTTATTCTAACCACACGGTACAGACTAGCATATTTTTCGTATTCTTATAATTACAAGAAAAATAAGAATTTCGTAAAGACGAATTTGTGGCATGGTCATCGTACTTTAAAAGGACATTCGAATACACTCAGGTATTTCACACCCTTTTTGGCTTTGATACAATCGCATACTCGCTGTTATTAAAAACCTTATGCTGTGGACTACCTGTTGTACTACTAACTGTTTCAGGAAGATCTGCCTTTTTTCGGATGATCCCATAACCGAGATGACTATCATCGGCTAATCTAATAGCAGACATGTCCTCAACGATTTCGTAGTTGGACCATGCTGGATTAATAAGATTAGAACTTTCCCCGTGAGAGATGTTGGAATGTACGCTTTGCGAGGAATTCGTATACTTATACGTAGACTTCTGATTAAGTTTCGTCGCGGATCCAAAGTGTTCCAATTTATCGTAATCCGACTCGTCTGCCTTGGCGACGCTCTGTATCGCCGACGGCGCGGTAATTGCGATATCGCATTTATTCTTGCACGTGTTCTGGAATGCATCGTGACTCCGTCCTACCGGCATCATGATCTCGTATTGTAAATCATCGTTGTCGTTTTCCTTATCTCTGTCAGGTAGATTCGAGTTCACTCTCTCCGTATGATGTACGCTATCGATACCATGAGTTTTCCAAGCATCATTCCTAATTTCCACCAGATCGTACGAGTGTCTCTCTTCTTCCTCGCGCATAACACTGGCGATGGTCTTGTGAGATAATTCTGGCGAGTTACCCTGGCTTAATGTTCTGTACTCCCCACAGGTAGGCAAGTCTAGGAAATCCGAATCGACATTTTTCTTCTCTAGTAGATTGGTGAAGATATATTTTCGTGGTGGTTTCGCGGGCTTGGATTTATTTATCGACCTGCACGATGAGACCGTAGAGTCCATGCTAGTCGACGAACTCAGAGCTTTTTGCGAATTTTGCGTGGTAGAAAAATCTATATCGATCAGATTGCTAGAATTATTTGGAGATGGAGGTAAGGCCGCTCTGGAACCAGCTTCCATAGACAAGGCCGCTTGGAATTGAGTGTCGTTGCATTCTATGTTTGGATTATTTTCTTCATCCAATAACTTTTTCATAGACTTCATTTTGGCATACATGCACCGGAAGATCTCTTGTTGACTACCATGCTCCAGGCGAAAGGAGCCCTCGCCAGATTCGCATTTCCTTCCAGCCTCAAAGATGAACTTCCCATCTCTATATCCATATCTCCTGATATACCTGTATGGCCATGTGAACAAAACAATATCACCATCCATCAATTTCATGTCCACGGCAGCAACTACTAATGTGTAGTTTCTCGTTTCTAATCCACATCGTTTGGACGCATCAGTTTCTACGACTTTCACGGAGAATACACCCTCCCCACTGGTGCAATATAAATCGTTGTTTTCTTCTATTTGGTTCGATACACTATCTTTGAACGCGACTAACTGAAACGCCGTGATCCAGTGAGTCATCTCAATTTCTGAGTAACAGCCGAAATAGTGTATTCCTGATTTAGTCACCACCTATGTACAAGACAGATGCATGAACGATCCTTCTCGAGACAAGAAAACTGAGAGCAGAATAGATACATACAGTAAACACATGTGACTGATTACTGGGTGCAATTTTTATACAGGCATCCAGTGTGATGATGCGTGGCGAGTGAGACTGCAGTATCGCCTCTTCCTGACTGTCATAGATCTCGACGCGTTTGATCCCATAATTACTCGTCCTAAAGAGCTGGCAGAATCTTTTATGCCATGTTTTCTGGAAACAAACAGATATGTATTCATTTGCTTGGAGTCTTCCTGTTGTTATAGATAGGGCGGATAATGCAAATAATAGTCGTGTGTAAAATACAATTCCCTCACTACAGTTTTTAAACGACCGGTCGAAGGATGTGCCGACATGTGGCGTACGTACACCTGTTGCGGGCCGAGTGGAAAAGAGAAGGAAGTACAGGGAGGGGAGGGGGGGAAGGAAGAATCAGCCGTTCGCGATATCGCGTATCGCGTATCGCGTCAACGTGGTGCACATCCCGCGAGTTATCTCGCCTCGCGCGAGAACCAACCTTGAGCTGGCCCAGCATTCCCTGCGGCGGTAGCAGCAGTATCCCCTGCATGAGAGGCTCCTCGGGCTCCATCGCTGGCGATCGAACATCGGCGCGGGTCCCACGACGACGTGTCTCCTCGTGGTCGCGGGCGAGAACTCTTTGTTCCCTTCAATTCACGCAGAGAAACGAGCGCAGGGATGGGAAAGTCGAGGGAGAAAGAGAGAGAGAGAGAGAGAGAGAGAGAGAGAGAGAGAGAAGAGAGAGAGAGAGAGAACAGCTCGCAGGCGATCTTTCTTCCACTTTCACTCCGGAGCCCGCCGTCTGTCGCGCTCCCCCGAGCACGCGGTCCCCTCGCCTCTACGCGCGCGCGATCTGACAGTCTACGGCGCGAGGAAATTCAGCCCATGGTAACGCGGGACGCTTGACATTTCACACGTCGGGCGGGGGAGGGGAGAGAAGGAAGATCGCGCATTAACGCACTCCTAACCGAACGCGAACGCACGGAGGCACGGGGCCAGGTCGGTTCGACACGGCCGTATGCCGAGTACGCCGCGTCGTCTTCTCGCGCAGGCGGTTTTCACGTCGTTCCGTCCCGTTCCGTCCAAGCACGATGCGATACGCACGCTCGCACGCACCGCGCCGTACGTGCAACCTCCCGAACGACTCGCGGACGCGGACCAAACACGTCCAACCAAACGACCGTACCCCGCACTGCGCGCGCCAACGCGCGGATATCGCACCGGACTGCACGCGCGCACGCACGATGTCGTTCGAATCGCCGCGGCGCATGCGGGCGTGACGTTTCTTTCTTCTCTCGAGGGATTCCACGTCTTTTTCTCACCCGGGAGAGTCGAAATTCCTTCCGTCCTTCAATCCGAAAACATCGAAGTCTCTCGCTTCGTCTCCTAATCGAATCTCCTCAAATCGAACTCGAGTTGAGGTTTGAGAAAAAAAATTATTGTAATTCGAATGAAAAATCTCGGATTATATAAATTTCGACTGCTCGCTGCCGAAATTTAATGTTTTAAATAATAACGCGCTATCTCGTTGTTTTGAAGAAATTTCATTCGTGCAGAAATTTTATTTATTCGCTAAAGATTTTAATAAAGTATCATTATATTAATTTTAATTTTAACTTTAATTTTTTAAATAAAGTTTAATTTTAATTTTTGATTTTGGTATTTACAATCGGGAATCTTTTTAAATTCTTGAAAGTTTCCGACGAATTAATTTTTCACGTTTTTTTTAAAGTAAAATTGATTGCTGTAAATTAAAAATTTAAAATAGAAATGGGAATTAATATTCTACATTTACCTACACGTCTAATGTAAATGTACTCTGCGCTCGATGATTTGAATTTAAATGAGTTTTAGCTTTGATAATGGCATAAACTGCAGAAGTTAACTTCACTCGACCGTAACATCAGGTTTATCCAAAGGCGCAAGGTTTCTGTTTCAAAAGAAAGAAGAAAGAAAATATGGAAAAGAAATTAATTATTATGCAACATTAAAAGGCTAATGTTTTATCTTTTTTTATCTGATAAATGTATAAAATCTTTAAATTGAAAATGATCAATTTATTTACAAATAATATCTGCAATGAGGTTTTCGATTCTACTTCGATTTCTTATTCCTGATGTCTTTACAACAAAATGCAAACAATGACGTTCTTATCATGTGCCAACTCGGACGAAGAGAAGCGGTAAACCGCAATGCGTTTATAACTTTTCCGTCTCGCCTTTTGCCTTCCGCCAAGAGATATCGAATAATTATAATACAATAGAATTGAGTCACAAAAAATTCTATTTCATCTCCTAACTTTTCTACATAATCCACTTTTCCGCGCTGCTTGTTGCATTTAAAATTTATTTTATAAAAGAGAACGACACGATGTTTAAGTGCAAAATTTTATGAATATTTTATGAATGTTTCTTTTGTAGATATTTATTTTTTGTGTCAAAAATCTTTTTTCATTATGCAGTATCTGTAAATGTAATGTAAATTTTAATTGGTGCTTTTTATGATATAAAAAAATCTAATTTCTGTAGGTACAAAAATGTCCTTAATTTGAAATTGAGTAATCAAGTTCTCCACTTTCATGCTTTTTACTTTTTATAAAATTGTTTTGTGCGAAAATATTCTTGACAAAATTATATATAGATATATTAAAAAAAAAAACACGTACAAATGGTACCTTCTTTTAAAGCACGATTGTAATGAACTTTAATAAAAATATTTTAAAATTTATTTTTAATAATCTAACTCATTAAAATTATTAATTTGTACGACATTAAATAAAATTTCCTTTGATTGAATAAAGACTTAATATTAATTGGTGCAAAAAATATTAGCAAAACATTGTAATTACCAGCGAGCATTGAAGCAAATTTTTTATTTCTTCACAAATAATAATGGCATGTAGAATAACCATCATTACGGCATATTGATAAATAAAGCGATATCTCCATTGGACGCAGAAATTCTCGTTGATATCACAACTACAAAGATGACAAACTTTTTGCGAACGAACTTTCAAGCGGCTAATATTCGGGCCAAGGAAGAATCGATCGGATGTGAACATCTGACGCATTTGACTTTCCCCCGATGATTTTTCAATTCTAGTCTAGTTTCACCCATGTAGGCCAATGATGCGGTTCGTTCGAGCTGTGATGAGATTCGATCGTTTCCTCGATAAGTTATTAAAGGAATCGATCCTTTGTTCGCTGATTGGTACAAACTGGTAGAGTTGGAGCACGGTCAGTCTAACGACTGCACTGCGGCCGGGTCTTTCCGATTAATGCGACAATAATGAATTGGCGAAAGTAATGAACTCATACATCATTGAGCAATGTCCTCGTCCTTATATATGGACCGGCTGCCACGACGATGCTCCAATACGATCTGTCGCTGGACATGATTTCCATCTTCTTCCTCGCGTGGATCCTGAACTCGGGTGACGCTTTCGGTGACTTCCCGTCGCTGGTATCCGCCAATACCTCGATGGGTACGAATCCTTTCTCTTCTGCCGTGTCGATACTTCTAATTTAATATCATGATCATCTTCTCTGAATCAGCGGTGGTTATCGACAAGAGCTTCTTCGATAACAAGGCCGAGTATCGCGACATTGTAAGAAATATTTACAACTACATCGCGACTGTTACGAAGGAAGAGACGAACACGATTGATATTGACGTGCACATCTTTCGCGGGACGAGAGTAAATAATCTTCGAGGTAAGAATAGATTGCGCGTTGGGCAAGAAGTTAATATTAATCAGCGACTATAATTACAAGGAAAGTATTGGTGAAAAATATTAATGGAACATTATGATTATACTAGACGAATATTTCGAAGCAAATGCTTTATTCCTTCATAAATAAAGCATAGACCTTTATTATCACCGTTATACTACAGCATATTGATAAGTAAAGCGATATCTCAGTGGACGCAGAAGTTTTCTATCTCGTTGATATCACTATAGAGATAACAGTTAGCTTCATCTTTATTTATATATAAAGATATAAAATTAGAATGTTTTAAAATAATCTCTTGGGGAATAAGACTAGGATTGGGTGATACATTTCATAAAAATATTTAAATAAAAATATTTGTTATGTATATTTTTATTTTTATAATCATCATACAAAAATATATTAAATAATTAAATTCTCTTTAAAGCTACACGATAATTAGTTAAAACAGAATAATATTTTTAATAAAGATTACACGGTGCTTTTATCCGTGGCGACATGTCATCAGATGTGGAGTCTTCACGATGCGGCGCGTAAGGAGGAGCTCGTGCATTTAGCGATAACAGGTACGTGGCGATAAGAAGGCTGCTGCCAGTAAAACTTTATGTGAAAAGCTCTCTTTTATTTGTCCGTCGAGACGAATATAAATTTAGGCGTCGAAACGTGAAATTGTAGTGTATGACTAAGACACTAGGTATTTGCAAATATCATTATCTCGCGCTTTTAATTTCATTATCTACCATCGTCCGCCGCAGATTGCATCGTGTTACGTCAAACATGATACATTTTGTTTCATTCAAGTCAGATTGTGATTCGTGTACATCCAGAGATTTCAATGCCATTATTCTTATTAAATTACGAAGTTTCATAAAAGCGAGCGCGAGCCGATAAAATCGCAAAATCGCATCCCTTACGCCTCATTTATTTAAAGATCACGATTGTCCACGACTTCCTGATTCGGAGGGTGTGAGCATTCCCTTGGTATCTCCCGGCGAGGAATTGTCCCAGATTATTTTCGACATAAGAGAGATCGACGCTTTCGCCTGGACCAACGTCAACATACTGCACGACGATACCTTTGGTGATAAAATTGAATCATTAATCTCTCTCTCTCTTCTTTTTCTCTCATTGTTTTTTTTCTATTCTACGACGTCTCTCAAAAGCGCGTCTTTCTCGTAATGGATTGTAGACAGGGACACGATCAACCGAGTCACAAAAGCCATCTCGAGATCGCTGCCAAATAAAAAATTTAACCTGATCTCCAGAGCGCTGTTCGCCTTTAAGAACGCCGATTCCGAACGTAGCAGGAGATATTACATAAAACATGTGCTCGAGAATTACCGTGTGGACCAGCTGGGAAGATGCTTCCTCGTGATCGTCACGATAGACGCAGCGGCCGACGTTATGGAAGTTGTAAGATGAAAGCTTCCTCGCTATTTATATTCGCGTTCACTTAAAATATTTAGCGCGAGAACGGTGCATAATTTGTAAGATTCACTTTGGGCACAAAGTAAATCTTACAAATTTCGTTTTCTTCAACGTGGATCTTGGAAATTATGCGAACGTGTTTTTTGCCTCAAACATGTGAGATGAAGATTCTTGTGGATGGACGCGTTTTACGCTTGCTTCGAATTTCCCGAGTTCAATTTCGAATTATCTGATATTCAGGCAAAGTCTTTAAATATGGCTCTACCTGACAGCCAATGGTTGTACATCATCACCGACAGCGTGATGCGAAACTCTACGAACATCACCAGTTTCGTCAATTTATTAACGGAAGGCAGTAACGTGGCTTTTATTTATAACACAACGGACAGCGACACATATTGCAATGTAATTCATTTAATCCTCTTTTAACTTGTGCGCAGGTTGCTTGAGATAATTTATTAATTTAAATAATCGAAAAATATCAATTAATAAAAATTGATAATTTTCTATAAGCAAAATTCTTTTCAATAATAAAAGGTTTTATATTTCTTCTTTTACATTTTATATCTTCTCTCTCTCTCTCTCTT